GTGAACAAGGAAGAGGTTAGAAGGGGGGATGGCGGAAGGGGCTGTCTTCCTGAGCAGTTTGACAAATGTTTCCTGGTAATGACCCTCAGTGATTGTTGTTCTTTCCAGTCTAAATGTGCTGTCCGTCCGTACAGTATGTGCTGACGTGCTCCGTCTTTCTCCTCCAACACCTCCCCACACACRCACACACACACCCMTTTTTCTCCCTCTACCTCTTCTGCCACCTTTTCTCCTCCTCCCTGTCCTCCCCTCCCTCCCTCCCCAGCCTGTCAGATGAGCGGAGCGGTAGCTAGCGAGCGGTGGAAGGCAGCGTGGCGGCGGCTTCTATTTGAAGTTGTAATGGTGTCAAAAAGTCAGGGCTGACTGACAGACGTCAGTCCCACAGGGCCTCATTAAAAACAGACCCACTTGACAAGGAAATAATTGAGCGCTGGCGACAACTCGGGGGGCCCCCCTCCGCGTTTTTAGATGTTTTTATTTTCTTTTCATTATTAGTGCTGAGCTATTATGTTCATTAAGAAATGGCATTAAAACAAGTTGTTGTTTTTTAAATCGGGGGAAAGGCAGGGAGGGGCAGAGGGATGGATGGAGGTGGGAAGATAACGATTTGTTTAGAGCCCCCTTTACTGTATTATTTAAGCAGGAGCGATGTCATGTGATACCTTGGCTATCATCTCTCCTCCCTTTATCCTTCCTCTTTTTTTATTTTCGTTCTGTCCCTCACTATTTTTCTCGAGCTTTTAGTCGCGTTCTTCCACGTGCCTCTTCTTTYTCCATCCTTCTTCTCGTCGTTTGAGCGATGGGTGTCATTGGAATACGAACTAGATTATTCATCAATGCCCACCCCCACTTCCCCACACACACTCACCACAGTTTCCTCCATTGGCTGATTTGGTTTTCGACAAGCGTCTCGCCGCAGAAGGCTGAGGATGAAAACTTGTCAAAAATAGGTTATATCTTATTCCAAGGGGCAACAATAGCGGCAGGTACAGACACCTTTTAATATTTAATTTAGACGGGTGTTAACCCTCCTTAAGTGACTGAAGCTGTGCCTTCCATACAGACGCCACAAGACAAGAGGGTGGAGGGGAGGGCGAAGAGGGCGGAGCGACTAATTATTTGATGTCTGAAAAGGGATTTTTTTAAAGCTCTTCCTGCCTCCGTGCTCGAGAAAGGATCGAAACATTGAACGGTTTTTTTTTCTTTCCTTTTTAAACACGTCACTGGACCGTCTTGAAGCATTTTCTCTGCACTCTTGTTTTTGTCATCAGTTTTTTTCTCGTGTACAGTAAAAACTGATCACACAGTGTGTCCCTAAGTACTCCTATTAGTACTTTAAATCAGTGGTTCCCAAACTTATCAGTTTTTGACTCACAAAGTACCAGCAGCAGAGACCTGTGCCCCCAGCTGCAATCGGTTAATAAATATTGTTTTCACGTCAAATAAACAARAGCATATAACATTATTACATTGYTTTTGTCCATTCTAAGTACACTAATCTTATTATTTTGTAACAACAAAGGCAAAAAAATGTTGTTGGTAGTCATTTTTTAGCAGGGTTCCTGCTTAAAAAGTCTTAAAAGTCATTGAATTCATCAATCCAAAAATAAGGCCTTAATTAGCCTTAAACTGTCTTCTTTCAGAAGTCTTAAAATGTTAACTCATTGTAAGTAGGATGATTGTAATTCATCTCAAATATTAAAATAACTGGTAACATTTTTTTATTTTCACATGCAGACATTCCACTTTGACGTCACTTCCTGTCATTTCACATACAAATATCTCAACAACTGTTCATCTCAGCAATGAGAAATTCATTGTGTAATATGTTAATAATGTTGTCTTTCCAAAAATGCAAACATTTTTCGTACAAAAAAATTGATGTCACGGGCACTTTAAGGTTTCATCTACAGCAGATTGGGGTTAAGACCTCGCTGTGGGTCCTAAAACGCCAAATTTTGGGTCATTAGAGGATTTTCAGGAATTAGATTATGGTAAGTTTAAAACTGGCTGCTAAGAATGTTTCTGCTATAGATGATGAAAAAGCAGTTCGATATGAATAAAAACAATTGATCTATTAGCAATATTTGAATACTTCAACCAAAACTACTTTGACTCATAAATTTCTGCCAGTTTTTTTTTTTTTTTTTTTTTGTCGTTTGTGTTTATTACGAAATTGGTCTTAAATTTAGTTTCACTTGGCATTAAAAAGTCTTAAAAGGTCTTAAATTTAACTTGGCTTAAACTGTAGGAACCCTGTTTTGGTGTAATTAACTCAGAAAATATTGTCAGGACCCCACCTTCATGTTTCAGGACCTCACTGTGGGTCCCGACCTCAACTTTGGGAACCACTGCTTTAAATTATAATAACTATAAATAAAACTAGAGAACTTTCATTTGCTAAGAAAAGGAGTGTGAAAGCTTGATGATGAACTGTTTTTGCAGAAAAAAAAGATGTTCAAAAATTTTGCAGTTTGTTRTAAAATAACCAAATAAGCTGAAATTAGCACAAAGAAGCAGAAAAGAGCACGTTTGCTAAAGTAAGCAGCTGAAAGAAGTAGCTGAAAAGGTGAAAAARGCTAGCTTGAATTGCAAAAAACTGCTGCAAGAAGACTAAGAAGTTTAAATAATCAGGAAGAAGCTGATAGAGCAAAAAAATTAATCAGAATAGCTAAAAAAAGAGCAGAAAGATGGCTAAAACACAGAGAAAAGCTAAAATTCGTAGAAAGCAAGCTAAAATTAGGAATGAAAAAGCAGAAACAGAAGAAAAGGTGAAACATGCAATAAAGGTTTAACTATTTTGTAGGATTTTAAGGATGTTAAAGACAACTCCATTCATTTTCAAAGACAACAAAAATGACAGAAAAAGTGAAATATCTCAAACTGTATAAATTGCTGAAACACCAGAAGTCATAGCCGGAAAGTCCTGAAGGAAATGAAAGTTTTACATTTATCGTTAAAATAAAACAAAAATTGCAGAACAAGGTCTTTACTGAAAAATGATGGAAAATTGATCAGCTCTGTTACATAAAGAGCTTTTTTTTAATCAATATTTAACTTCATGTGATATAAGTTTTAATATTATTTCTGTTTTAAGGTTTTTGTTTTAATACACTAAAACTCTGGTATCCAAAGGTCAGGATCTCATTCYGGTCCACGTCTACGCTCAGCAGTCACTCCTCTTTCTCATCCTTTTCTATAAGGTTCACGTAAAAAGTTGTAAAAGGAGGGCTTGTCAGTGAGGAACGTCTGCGACGCAGCGCCGTTGCAAACAGCCTGATGTTTGTCAGCCATTTAAGACGACAAGGGATTGTGACAAGCGTCGTTTGAGCTGCGTGTCCCTGCGTAGGTTGGTCCTTAAACTGTATAAACAGCACCAGTGGTGGGATCACAACGGGAGGGTGGGCGCTTCATCTTCAGGAGTGTCCACGATGCTGTCATCTGTAGCAGATGCTACACACACACACACAGAAGAGACGCCTGTATGCTAAAAGTGGCCCTGCAAACAACACACACACACACAATTGGTGCTGTTTGAGCATTCCTCTGTTTGATTCAGCAGACAAAAGTACACACACACACACTGCTGCACGTATGGCGGATGCACCCCATTAAGAACACACTATCTAGTGTACAGCTAATAG